CTTGTAGTTAGACATGTCTGACAACATTCAGAAGCAAGGAATACTCAGATTTGTTGTAGTGCTGGACCCAAATTCAAATTATACCATGACTTAGCAGAAAACAACCAATCAGACTCTACCAAGTTGTTTTTTTTTTTTTGTTTCCCAACACCATAAATACTGCCCAAAGCCCCATCCTTTGGGAAACTGATTTGAGCCTTCCCTCCAGTCTCCTTGCCAGGTGACCTTCTATTAAACTGATTCTTTCCTCAAGAGCTGGTGGCATGGTTTTTGGCTTCTCTGCCATTGGGTAGAGGACCACTGGCAAAACCTCCATCAAGTACCCCAAGGCTTAAGCCCATATCCCATAGCCTACCTTTATGCCTACCTTCCCCTCCTCCAACCACCACCCCTAACTCATCCTCAATACCACTTAGTCTCAAACAGTCCCTTCACTCTTGATCCCCTCTCCCGCTTTATTATCCTCATAGCACTTGCTATCACACATCTATTAACTTGTTTACTGTCTACAACCTCTGTGGAAAGTAAGTTCCAAGTTCTTCCTCATTTCCCTAATTCCTACAACAGTGCAGGTGCACTGAAGATCCTGATCTCAGCACTCCTCTACATCTCTACTGCCACCACACTGAGCCAAGCCTCATATGATGCTGGAGTGCTCCCGGAGTCCTTCTCCTGGATTTGGTGACCGATTGCTTGATGACTTTTCCATTGCCAAGTCATGTACCACTCCAATCCAATCCCTCTCCACTTATCAGCCAGTGTAGCCTTCCCTAATCACAGATCATATATTTCCCTGCTTAGAAGTCTCCAATGGCCCTCAAGGCCTAGCTTGGACATCCCCCAACTTCACCTTCTATCACTTGACTCCTTGTTCTCTGCTCAGGATACTCTGCTTCTGTTCCTGAAACCAAACCTACCTCTAGTCTAAGACTCACATATGGCTTCCCTAGCAATTGGCAAAGATCTTGGCTCATATACCACCTCCTCAAAGAAGCCTTCTCAGGCCAGCAAACTGAAATGGAGCCCTCCCTCTCTTCTGCAACCCTAGGCACCCTCCAGGATATTCTACCTGATTATTTCCTTCACATCACTAATCACAACCTGTTCATGTTTATTGACTTGTTAACATGATCACTGTTTCTATTTTTCAACCCTTCTACCCCCAGCATGGACTCCAGTGCCAAGAACAAAATTAGGGGCCTTCCTGGAGGCACAAGGGATTAAGTCTCAGCACTATGAAGCTATTGGCAGCTTCTGCAGCATGAGTTCCATCCCCGGCCAGGAAGCTACCCACATGGTGCAGCAGACCTCTTCTGGCTTGCCTGCTGCTCCCCTCAGCAGTGTATTTCAGTAGATCTGCCTGTTCTGCTCCTCACTTGGTCCCTGGTGAATTCTCTCACCCCAAACACCTCTGGCCCATAGCTTAGCTCTTGTATGCATAAATAAAATCTTTTTTTTTTCTAAAAAAAAAAAAAGTAAAAGATCAAAAAATGTCTGTTAGATAAAACTGTGCTTCCATTATTGTGATGGCGATGCTGACAACAATGATGCTGATAATGATGTTCTCCCATGGTGATATGGTGGTCTGCAGATCCAGTGACAGACTAGACAATGTTCTTGACCATCTAATTAGAGTCAGAATTTGTTGTTACGAGCGCAATCTGGGCTTTGAGGTTAGGGGTGTGTGTGTGAGTTTATTTCATGCCAGGAGACCTCACGGTCATCATTAGGTACCATCTACCACCGGTCTCCATGGATGCATACTCAGTAAACACAAAATGAGGATATATCAGCTCTCCTCTAACAATTGCAAGACAGGGTAGATTTATTGTGTTTGGTAGACAATAAATACTGAGACAGGAAGCTAGTCTCTTGGCCCCTTTAAATGTTCTTCCCAGTTCCTGCATTCATTCTCCTGGAAGGGTTTTGAAGACATGTCAGAAAGGTGAGAAAATACAGCTAACCAGGCAGTGCTGGAGGGAAAGATGAGGACTAATAGACAATAGACAGTAGAGGCTACAGAAGAACAATTCTGACCAGAAACTGAAGTGGGGAGAACCTGTCAGTTTCAATAACACTAGGCGAAAACCTAAAGAAAAACATAGTTGGACACATATTTCTCCTTAAAAAGACATATTTTAGTGAAGCTCAAAAATTGGAATTAGAAGAAATATCCATCATTTCATTTTACAGATGAGTAATTTGAATTTAGAGAGGAGAAAGGACTTTCTGGGACTACAATGAAATTCCATGACTGATTGCAGATGAGGATTCTCACAAAGTTGAGTTTTTCTGGCACATACGATCACAGGTCTAAACCTACCTTCAGCTAAATAAGTGAAGCATGTGTATGCTCTCCTCTGTGGCCAATGAAACTAGCAAGGCCTGTATCCAAAAGTCACTCAATTTCCTATCGTTTTTCATTTCTAACTCTTCTTCCTCTTGATCCATGGCCAGCCTATCACAAGGCACATGTATCACTTCCCTCTCCCGTCCTCCCTTATTTTTCCATGGTGGTAACAATAGTTTACAACACTGTAGAACTGTTATAGGGCAACCCTGATATAAAACGGGTTGCCTGGCTGTGGGTCCTCAACCACGCGCTTAAAAGGGACTTATTAATACTCCACTACAGGCACACACAAAAGGTTAATAAAAGGTTTATTTACAAGGGAAAGGGAATTAAGAAATGTACAACTCAGGGAGAAAATAGGGAAATAAAGTCTTTAAGGCGTCCTACCCGATCCGCTGACCTGGAAACCCAAAGGCACCCTCAGAGCTGGCCTGACGCTGCAAGCTGGCGGGGAGCCAAAAATGGGGGATCCCCTCCAAAGCCCACGTGTCTGACTTTATACCAAACCTGGCTGCTTAACCCCACCCTCAGGTCCCAGCCACCTTCCCTTTGGTGGGCCTGGGGTGGGGGTGGAGTCCACAAAGCCTGTATGGAATTAGCTTTAGGACATCCTTTTCCCCCTAACAATTCCCCCCTTTCACTTTTTGCCCCCATTTCCATGGCGATGAAGATCGAATATATGGATGTTGATGCTATCAAATTAGGCAGGAACCAACCAAAAGATAATTGTTGGTAGACAAGAGAGTGCACAGGAGACTTAGAGAACCAGGGGGTACATCGTGTTAAGGTAGTGAACACTCTTTGAAGTCATTTCAGATCAGAAATCATGACTCATCCAATAAAACTAGGAAAACAGAGCCATTTAAGAATACGTAGGGTTCTGGGTGGAATGGAATGACTGAAGGGGAAAAAAGAAGAAAAGAAGGTTAAATCTAATATGCAGGACTCCAAGTAATGAGGTTACCTAAGTAGGGGCACAGAAGAATGCTTCTATAAAAAGTAAAAATAGATACATTTCTAAACAACAAATCTGGAATCTGCGATTGAAGTAACAAAAGGCAAGGAACCACAAAATCACCACTCAGAATGGGGGTCCAATCTTGAGTCCAGTGCCTTAGGCAGAGTCTAGACACTTAACTTTTCTTATCTTTAGAATAAGAATATATAATAGTGATCATTCTAAATCTCTACTTACATGCCAGACAATGAGGATAGCACTTCATAATGCCTTCTTTCATCCAATCCCTTTATCATCATCATCATCATCATCATCATAATGTAGGTATCATTTTTCCAATGAGAATCAGAGAGGCAAAGTAATTTATTATCAAATTGTAGGGTCAACATGTGAATTCACGTTTGAGTTCTTTATCATTACATTTCAAAGTGTAGCTGTGAGGATTAAATTTTAAAAGTAAAGCACCTGACAAACTGCCTGCTCTTCCCAAATACTGCCCTAAATGGTTCTTTGTGTCCTTTATTCATTCACACCTCTTGAATTAGCCTCCAAACATTTGTTGCCAAAGTCACTGAATTCCTGGTCAACTAATTGGAGAGGAGTCCAGAAGATTCCTAATGACTTATTTTTCCTGTTTCAGGTAGAGACTCAATCCAGGAAGCATAAGGAAAGAAGTGCCCTGGCTTTCCATGAGAATTGGAGCAAGTAACTTTCCCCTCTGGGAATTAATTTTTCCTTGAAAGGAAGAAACTGGGCTGCAGGGCCAAGGGGAACTTGGAATGGTGGCAAAAAGCATGTGCCTCCAAAGTGCTTTAACATACCAGATCCTGCACCATCTTCAAAGTCAGTGTTAGATAATAAAATGAATGAGTTTAAGTAGTTCTCAAGGCTGTGGAATTACTCACAAAAAGTACCTGCAGCGTACCTTGCATATGGTAATCATTCAATAAGTGTTACCTATTATTGCCATTATTACCATCACCATTCAACCCCAACCATGGAGGTATCTGTATTGTCTTTGTAAACGACTTCAATTTGCAAATGGAAGATCTGTCCAAAGGACACCCTCAGAACCCCTAATAGCGACTTCCACGCCCAAGGACCTGCAGGTCGTTTTCTGCCTGCAGGTAAAGTGGGCGACCAGCACGACAGCCATGACAGGCAGTACCTGTGAAGAGCTCCCTACCCAGTCTCTTTAGGTGGGACCTGAGCCCTCAACTTCCGCAGTCCGCCCATCTCAGCGGCCATTGGTCCTGTCATCACTGGCGTGATTAAGGCCCCGCCCCCTCCCCCTGGGCCCACTCTGAGGCGACCTCCGGAAGAGGCGGGGCCTACGAGGAAGGACCGCGATGCAGCCTGGGCTTTGTAGTCCATCTGCGCAGCTGCGGGCAGAGAGCCGGGCCTCACCCCGAGAAGAACTACAATCCCCAGCTGCCTGGCGGAGAGGGAAGAGGGTGCGGGTTACATCACGTGGGCGCTCGGCCTGGGCGGGCTATTTTCTTAGTGCGGCGGCGGAGGCTGGGGAACCGGGGCCTTTTGTTTGGAGCGGCTGCAGGGGGGGGCCCCCCCGGAGTGGCGAGGCCGGTGGCCTTCCCCAGCTCACTTGGCCCCGGCCGCCCCTCGCAGGGGTGGGGGGCCGCCCCCTGGGCCGGGCCTCGCCCCAGGCGCCGCCGCCCCGCCCTAGGCCCGCCCCGCCCGGCCCGAGGGGAGGAATCGGCGGGGCCTCTCTGTGCGCGGCCCAGCCACCTCCGAAGTCACTGCCACTGCCCTCTGTCCTCCGGATCCGAGGCTGCCCCGCGCCCCTCAGGCCGACGCCATGAAGATCAAGGATGCCAAGAAGCCCTGTAAGATGGGGGACTTGGGCCCGCCAGGTTGGGGGAGCACCCTCGGGCCCCGTCTGGAAGCCTCTTGGTGGAGCGGCCTGGCTGCAAGCCCGCGGTGCCTCGGCAGCGCCCCGCACGGGATGGGGGCGCACGGGATAGGGCATTTCAGCTGCCGGTTCGAGGGTTCCTCCCCATCCCTCTGGAAGAGCCGGGTGAAGGCCTGTCGCCCTCCCCGTGGCTTCTTCCACTCCTCGCCATGTGAGAGGTCCGAGAGGGAATTTTTGATTCGGGTTTTGCCAAGCGAGGCTAGAGCTAACAGTCATGTTTCTCAGCTTCCTCTGAAGTCTGGTTGAAAATGGGTGATTCAGACTGTCGAATTGCGTCGCGGTAGTCAGCAAACCCCCCCCCCTTTTTCTTTTTCCTTATTTACTAATTTCTGAGCTTTCTGCTTTTGTCCTTGAAATCCTGGTGGGTTCCTCGGAGTTGTCGCTGTTACAATTTGAGCTTTTAAATGCACGTGCAGGTAGGTAACCAGCCAGTGGATTATTGAACTTGGCTTGTTTTTGTTTGGAATGACAACTAGTTTTTAAAACACGAAACGCCGACAAAAAATAAAAATCACCCATGTTCCTACCACTTGGAGCCAATCCCTGTTAATGATTTGGTGACTACCCAAAGAAGATATTTCTATGACTACATCTGCATCTACTTTTTTTGCATATAGTTAAAAAATTGTTTTTCTTTTCATTCTTTAAGAGAGCAGATCAACTTTCATTGACTTTCTTCTATCTTTAGAGTTTTGAAAACCTTTACTCCTATAAATGACTTATTTGATCCCTTAGCCATTGTTACTGTCTGATCTTCCAGAGTTTCTAGGAATGTCAGGATGCATGCTTCCATCTTAGAATTCTATTGATACTTTGCAGTTTTTATAGTCTCATGTGATGCACCCAACAGTTCTAAGAAATCTGCTGTAAAACAGCACTGATACCTCCCCTGACAGCCTGTGTGGGTTCTAGTAAACCTCACAGGAGAGGCAGCATGCTAAAAATGAGCACTTTGAAAACTGCTAATTGTTATTTAAGTGTGAGATTATTCCATCTTAATTTTACATATGCCAAAAAGTAACTTATTGAGCCTCAGAATAACTTTTTCAAGGCTTTACCTACCTATATTTTAATGACGTTCAGGGCCCTAAAATGACTGATTTATAGGCCAGGGTTCTTTCTTTGCCCCCATAGGGCATAGTCTAAATACTTTTGAGAGTTTTATCTGCCAATTTAAGAAAAAAATGATTTCTTGTGATAGCTGAAAAGTTCTTGTTTGAGGAGCCTATAAAATAGTGATTTGAAGAGTTAAATGACAGAATAGAGGAAACACTGCTCATTTACATCTTCTTACAGATGCATTTTCTGTTTGTCTTAGTTTCCAGTTAGTAAAATGATCTTAGTAATAATCTTACATTTTTGTCATTATAATTATTTGATTAGCTGAATTTGGGCAAACTGGTAATCTAAGCATGACTACCACCCTATCCAAGATGTATTTCCAAAAAGATAATGAAAAGTTTATAAGCTTTATGTTGAGAAGTAATTTTCAAGTGAGTTGCCTGTGGCTACCTTGAGAGTATTATTGGCAAAATAGAATAGTGCTGAAAAATTTGTTAATATGACAGAAATCTAAAATTACATTTTAGTTTTCTTATATCTAAAAAGTGTTTTAAAAGTGTTTTACTGGCTACTCAATTCTTTTGGGTAAAAATAAACTTTTTTTCATATGGGAATATATTTCAGACTCTGAACTATCTTGGAAATACTTGTATTATTTCTAATTGTTTTAACCATTTAGGTTAACTAAAGTTGTATTTCGTTTTTGATTATAGAGTTTTCGTGGTGGGGATTCTATTAATAATCAGTTTATTGAGCACTTAGTATGTGTAAGGCACTTTACATGCATTACATCACTTAACCCTTACAACAACTCTTGTAACTATTGATAGAAACTATCATACTGTTGAAACAAGTGACTGTGGTTTCCCACATTACATTATTCACCGAAATGTTAGAAAGCATTGCTTTTAAAACCGTCATCATTTTCAGATTACAAGCCGATCTCTCTATTTAACTAGAAAATAAAGAATTGGTTTCTTTCTCAAGATTTTTAATGAAAGATTAGCATTTGAAATTGCTAATTCAACTCTAGGAGCAGTCGAAATCAAGCGCTAGTGAAAAAAATTCTGCTACTTAAAATATGAGAACCAAAACAATGGCAATGTTTGTGCTGCCTTTACTAAGGTTTTTCACACTGCTTTATTATTAAAAGTCCACATGATTCTGTGTTTCTGTGTACCTCAACTGACATAATTTAAGGTTAAGGTTTTTCAGCTTTTGTTTTTGCTTACCTTGTGGCATATGAATTTACTAACAAGGTGATACTAAAATATGTTTATTTTGATTCAAAATAAGTTTTTGAGTTTGTGTTTTGCTAAAACAATAAAAGTTTTTGGTCAAGAGAGAAGTATATAGCATATATATGTGGTTTGCCTCTATAATTTGAATGTCCTGTTTGTAAATTTAGTCAGTCACTTTAAAATTATAACTTCCGTAGATAAGAAGATGCATTTGGAGGTACTAGTTTCTCTGTACCTTCCTTTATATGTAACTAGTCTACTAAAGAAATTTATCTGAAGGTCTACTAAGGGATTATAATTCTGAAGGTGTGAAGATGCTTATTTTTATAGTCTGTTTCTAAAGCATTTTTACTTGGAATGACTCAGGAAGAGTGAAATGTCTTTCACCCAAGAACTAGAAACTTATGTGGAATTTACCAGTGCACATCCTTGTTTTGAAATAATCCACTAATGTTTTGACATTTTCTGCAATTGGTTTCTCTTTATGCTAAAGAACAGCTGAAATCTTAACTTGGCATAAGAGCCCTTTGGGGTAAAATCTGCATGAGACCAGTAACAATTAAATAGTTCTTTAATGCTTCCTCATTCTCTTACCAACACTTAGTTTGACCAAACTTTTATAGTAGTATTGGAAATTCACAGTTTACCCCTGTGGCTGCTGTTGAATCACTTAAAAATATGATTGGACATGCAGATTCCCCCCTGCCCCATTAATAATCAGTCTGGTAAGATAAATCTTGATAGCATTTTAGGTTACTACTGGGAAAACTAATAGCAGCTCTCATAGGCCTAGGTGAGAAATCACACAAATTGTATATATAGTCCCTCCCCGCCCCGGCCTTATCCCCAGGGGATATGTTCCAAGAAATCCATTGGATGCCAAAACCAGAATTGTGCCAAATCCTATATACACGATGTTTTCTACTATTCATGATTATCTGTGATAGTTGAATTTATAAAGTAGGCACAGTAGGATTAACAGCAGTAAAATAGAACAATTACTCTGTAATAAAAGTTACATAAGAGTGTTTGCTCTCAAGATATCTTAATTGTGTGTCATATTTTTGGACTGTGTGTAACCAAAACTGCAGACAGTAAAACTGAGCATAAAGGGAGACTGCACTATTTTTTTTGAAGACCAAATATACATGTCATGACAGTCTAGCACATTTTCAAGGTCTGGTGCAGGTAATGCATATTTGTCGTCAAATGTATTTCTGGAATGTGGTGTTGGTTTTTAATGTGGATTGGGGTTTTTTTTTTTTTTCCACTTTGGTAGTAAGTAGACTACTTATGCACTGATGAAATACTTTTAACCTTCTAGACGCAACAAAGCTATAGATGCTTGCCTGATTTCTTAGGAAACTGATTCCCCTCCCCCCATTTTAAAAGGACAGGTTTATTAAAAGGGGCTCCTGCATAGACACAGGTGGGGAGTCTTAGGATAAGAGCCGTGGAAACGGATTTTTTTTAACTCAATGGAACTATTAATGGACCAGTGGTTGGTTTTACTTAATAACTTTATCCTTTCATTGCAAATAAAATTTGAGACTCACACCTCTTCTCTCATTTTGGTCAGTGACAAATAAAAATTATATTTTCTTAATATACTGGAGAATGTAAAAGCCTGTAATTAGTCCACTTGCTAAATGATAGGAGTGCATCATAATTAGGAATTTTTGTCCCAGTGTTCTTGTTGCCTCCCACATACTTTCTGAATGCTGATTATTTCTCTGGCATAAGGAAATGAATTTCAGAACTCTGCTGAAGTGAAAGGATTTCTATGCAAAAGGTGGCTATTAACCAACTTTTTAGTAATTGGAGCCACTAGCAGATCTGAGTTCTTTTTTAATCTTTCCTGATTTTAAGAAGAAAATTGTCACAGTATGGTTATACTAAGAAATTCCTTGTGTGCAGTATAGTTATCTTTATGCCCTTTCTTGAAGAAAAGCACTTTAAAGAACAGACATATCTAACAGGCTAGATATGAGAGAATTTGGGCTTTTTTGTATTACAGATTTTTAAAAAAACATACCTCTGGGCATTTTCATTTAAGGAAATTGTATGGTTTTTCCCATTTAAAGTTCATGGAACCTTTTCTGTAGTCCAGTATATAAACGAGGGTTACAAATAAAAGTTTAAAATTTAATGGTAATGGTAATCATGAGTTCCTAGTGGTTTGTGGTTAATTCTTTATGCCGTAGCTACCACCCACATTTTTTTTTTTTTTAAATAGAGGCATGTTTTTATTTATTTATTTTATTTGTTTGTTTGTTTTGTTTATACATGCACTGGGTACAGTCAGAAGCGCGGGAGGGTGAGAGAATTCACCAGAGCCAGAGCGGGAAGCAGAGCAGGCAGAAGGACCGAAGTACACTGCTGAGGGGAGCAGCAGGCGGCAGGAGAGGTCTGCGCACCATGTGGGACCCTCCTCCAGTGGCCTGGGAGCAGCCGGGGATCGAACCGGCGCCGCAGAGGCCGCGGGCAGCTTCGCAACCCAGGGCTGAACCACTGCGCCACCAGGGAGGCCCCCACCCACATTTTATAATATTCTTCAGTATTTGATTTAAAACAAGTGAGAGACTTACTTTATACAATAATACAGCATTGTATACAGTAACTTTTCTTACTTTCTGTGTAAGGTTTTTTTAAAATTTCTAATTTGCTTTATTCATTGTTTAATTAATCCATCAGCATCCTGTGTAGCAAGTAGAAAAGAGGCCTGAAGGAGTGGTACAAATGAGAGGGAAAGGATGACATTATTATTTCAGACAAGATAACCTTCCTATGGGAGATGGAAACGGTCCATCAGGGTATATTACGTCATCCCTGCTGACCAGGAAATTCCATCTTGCCAGCTAAAGGTTACATTTCTGGGAGTTGCTGACCTGGGGCTTAGCACAAGTGACTCCATTTCGGGCTGGTTGTTTCTTTTTTAACAGTAATTTAAGATTATAGAGTTAGCTAAACAGAGTCAAGGCTAAAATGAGCAACTGTTTGTTATAGAGAACAGTGTGTAGGCTCAAATTGTAATAGGGTAAACCCTGGAAGAAAAAGAAATGACCAGATTTTGTTAAGTCCACACCGCATGCTTAGGAATAACAGGATAAGACCTAAAAGCAGATGTAAAGAGAAATAAGGAAAAGGATTTTAAAAGATTTATTTGCATATGGAGTGAGAAAAGGGAGAGCTAAGATAAAAGAATATTGGCCAGCATATGGCCAGATGCTATCTGCCCTACATATATTTTAGCCCAGCTGAGCAGAAACCAGGGTGCAATGAACGCAAGCCAAAAGAGAGCAATGTTTTCTTTTTGAGATAGGACAGGTTTCATACAAAAAGGTCAACTCCTTTAAAAGAAGGAGCAGTACCTCAGCAGTGTATTTCTGCCTGTTCTGTTCCCCGCTCTGTCTCCGGTGAATCCTGTCACCCTCCCGCGCATCTGCCCTGTACCCCGGTTCTTATATAAATCTTTAAAAAAAACAAAGAAGGATCAGTAGAAGGTATTCCTTTATCATCTTAGTGATAATTATGCCTTAAATGTCTTTTTCTGGGAAAGCCAGTTAACACTTCTGTGCACTCCAGACTTCAGAAACAGGATTTCATTCAGTGAACCTTTCTACTGCTTGCCTGCTCAAATACATATCTTTTGGAATTGGCTGTTGGTATACTTTTGGGATCAGAAACCTAGTTCATGCATGGCTTTAGAAAAGTAGATCAGGGCCTCCCTGGTGGGGCAAGGGGTTAAGTCTTAGCATTATGAAGCAATCTGCAGCCACTACAGCAGGAGTTTGATCCCTGGTCAGGGAGCTAAGCCACAAGGCACAACAAACCTCTCCTGTCTTACCCTTTCCTCCCCTCAGCAGTGTATTTCAGTCAAGCAGCCTGTTTTGCTCCCCTCTCTCTCTGGTGAGTCCTCTCACCCACCTCCCACCCCCGACACCCCTGGCCTACACCCCAGCTCTTGTAAGTAGATCATTTCACCAATATTTTATCTATAAACTTGAACTATTTTCCTAAGCAGTAAGTCTCCTTTGAAGCATAATTCATGGTTTTTTGTAAGAAATAAGTTCTTCATGTAAGTATTAATTGGAGTTTTGCCTTTCAAAAAGCAATATTCTGATGTTTCTAAACCTGGGAGCAGATAGGCTTCCAACTAAAAGTAAAAAAATGGCATGAACTTTGAACCAAGTTAAGCCTCAGCTTTGTAATTTGCTCCTTAACATTTTTATTTGTATGTATATTTTGATACCTGGATGTTTGATACTGACAAAGACACAGGAAGAAAAACTGCAAACACTTTTTTAATGTATTTTGGAAAATGAAGATTTTTAGCTCAACATAAATCTCACCTCTTAGAAATTTTTCTATTCCAAAATGTACTTTATGTGGGAATGGTGATTTCCACCTTCCACCCTGCCCACCCCCCATGAAATCTAGAATTAGGCATCAAGCACAAAGAATTCATTTTGGTTATGTAATATAGAAGGGTCTCTTTGTTTTGTCTAATGCCCATTGAAAAGTGTCCTAATTACATATCTGTTCATCAGATAGGGAGAGTTCTCAAGGAACCTTTTGTTTACTGGACCAGTAGATTACTCCCAGTGTTTTCTTTAAACATGCTTGTCCAGGCAAACACTCTGTAATTGTTAGTGTTGCTGGTTGCTCCTGATTTATTGGACAAGTTTCTTAAATCACTTTACTTTTTTAAAAGAAATCTTTTTACAGATTGTATTTAGATGTGGATCTGCAACTTTGGTTTTAAATGAAGGAACAAATGAGCTATTTCTCCAGAAGATAATGAGAATTACTCTGTCATACTCATTATCATTTACTATTTTCAGTTAAATGGAATTCTGAAAGAGAAATGTATAGAAACCTTTCTCACTGAATCATGTTCTTTGTTTCTAATGGTACACATGTATCAAATAAGTAAAATCTGAACACTTAAGAAATAAAAGTAGTTTAGAATTGATTGTCTTTTACAACATTTATACCGAAAACCCTGTTAAATACTTTGTTAATAAGCATTTTGTAATCCATGTATCATAAATATAAAATTTTTTTTTAGTATCTTAATGATTAAGATGCTATAGAAACAGGCCTTCTAGAATGGTATCCTATCTTAACACTTATTGTCAACAATTTGACCTTAGTAGGGGAATTTGTCATCTCTGCTGCCTTTCCTTGTCTGTGTAGTGGTGCAGACAAGGACAACATTTAGGAGCCTTGGGAATTAAATGAACCAATCGGTATGATTAGCACTTAATAAATGCCATTCTGTAGAAAACTAAGTCCTTTGTGCTTAAATTCGAAGAATTGGAAAGTTTGTAATTCATAATAATTTGATACTGATTTTCCCTCCAGCCTTGGGGACAATGGTATATGACATTCAATGTCATGGCATGAAGGAATTAGGTGACTTAAGGCAAAGATTCTCAAATGCCATTTGGATTTGTTTTTTCCTTAGAGTCCCAGCTCCTGCCTTTAAAGAGTATTGTTTAGTAGACTGCTAAGGGGTTTGGGCTCAACAATCTATGTTTTTTTTTAATGGTACCTAGGTTATTTCAATTACTTTATGTAAAATGTTAGGCTTTATAGACAAATCTTCAGCACCTCTTGTCCATTTGCACACTGTACTAAGTAAGCTTTCTATCAGCAGCTAGACTGTGTCACTTTCCTGCCTAGAACATCAGTAGTGCTTCTGTTGCCTGCAGGTTCAAGTCTAAGATCCGTCACCTACCATGACTTCTGTTTCCTTAGCCTTACTCCTTTTCCATATTCCCTAACTATGCCTCTTTTCCTTTGGGTAGGCTCTTTGTTTTATTTATTTTTCACACTCCCTGCAGACAAACTGAGGCATAGAGTTAAGTATTCCGTCTACTGTAATTTTTTTTGTCTGCCACCTTTTTTTTTTTAATACTTGAATGTATAGTCCCTTGCCTCTTTTCTCAGGGGCAGGAATTTTATCTTATTCACTGCATTCCTATTTTTTGGTGTAGAAGAGATGCTCAGTGATTTCCTAAGGGAAACTGAGAAAACTAAGATTCAAGGAGATAAATAAATGGCTTTTCCAAAGGCATGTAGCCCGGTTTCTGAGAGCATTGGGTCTCAAACCCAAGTGATATTTATTGCCTGGCCAATTGTACTTGTCCCCAAGCAGGCTTACCTTCAGCTTTATTAACAGCTAATAACCAGATGTACCAAAGAAATCTAATATGCTTAATGAGCAAAGAAAAAGATTTCTTTTTGAGGAAACATTTTTCCCTTGGGTTACTTGAAGTGATAATAGGCCAATTTTATTATATTACAATCTTTTTAGAAGCAAAGATTTTCAAGCCTTAGTTGATGACCTATTTTATTAAAACTGATATGGTCCATATTCTCATTAATTCCCTAGTGCACATAATCAGTATGTGTACCAGGAAAGCCTGCCTGATCAGGAATTAAAAGGCCCTGGGCCAACTCCATGCATCCTATTGAGAAGAGTTTTTAGAAAATATACAAATGAACACTTTGAAGGGGAGAAAGTAAGTTGCACTTAGAAGATGTGCCTTACTTTAGAAGTAGTATGACTAAGTGCTGGGTTCAGGGAGATGGAAGTTTGTAGCCAATTAACTGTTTCCTAATTTTTTTTTTTTTTTTTAACTCCACAGCTTTCCCATGGTTTGGCATGGATATTGGGGGAACTCTAGTCAAGCTCTCATATTTTGAACCAATTGATATCACAGCAGAGGAAGAACAAGAAGAAGTTGAGAGCTTAAAAAGTATTCGAAAGTATTTGACTTCTAATGTAGCATACGGATCTACTGGCATTCGGGATGTACACCTAGAACTAAAGGATTTAACACTTTTTGGCCGCAGAGGGAACTTGCACTTTATCAGATTTCCAACCCAAGACCTGCCTACTTTTATCCAAATGGGAAGAAATAAAAACTTCTCAACATTACACACGGTGCTATGTGCTACAGGAGGTGGTGCTTACAAGTTTGAAAAAGATTTTCGCACAGTAGGTATCTGTTAATCAGTCAAAACTTAATACCCTTTCTCTCCATGTTTTAGACTATGAGGCAACTATTTCTGTCTAGCATGTTTCTTAGATTAGTTCCCAGTGAGGATACAGAGGAAATATATCTTCATGACTTGCCTCTACTTTGGCCATTTAAACACTTTCATAGTGTAAGTTTCTCAAATTTGGGCATATGCATAATATTTGGTAAAAATACACTAAGTTTAGGGACTGCCACAAGCTATAATAAAAGATACTGGAATGAATTTTGACAGTGTACAAAGCCAGATGCAAAGGGAGCTAGAATTATTTTATTACTGTTTTATGTTCATGTGGTTTTTGAGCATTATCCACATAGTCATCTCTCCGAGGGCCAACAAAACTAGTGTCTTTTGATTAATAGAAAGAAACCTGAATGGAAGTCCTTGTTACTCCTTTGTATTTAGGTTTTCCTTTTTTCTTTTACCATCAACCCCATACTACATTTGTTTCAAAAGAGGTTTTTCAGACATGATAAGAGAACTATGTTAGTGTTAGGTATAATACTTGTTTGTGTTCATACTCATTTATTAGGCAGCATATGAACATTTAGAGTCAGGTATTGTGCTCACACTGAGAACTAAGGAATAAGAAAGTGACCTAGGCCTCCCAGTTACAGTATTCTACACCACACAGAATTATAAATAAAAGCCTATGCTTTCTACTATTGCCCTGAAAAGAGGTTTGGTGGAAACCCAGAGAAAGGACCCTCAACACATCGTAGAGAATTGAGAAGTTTCCCACAAAAACTGATGCCAAAGCAAATGTTTTTTAGAGCAAATATTTTTAAGTACACTCTGTAATCTGAAATGAACTTAATGCTTTCAAGCAGGAACCCAAACTATTTTTTTGTTTCATCTCACCAATTGGAAATGTCTAGTATTCCAGACAATTTAGTGGGTCCCTGCCCACTAAATCTGAGTTTGGTACTCCCCATCCCTGTGGAAGCTAAAATGTCCTCACAGATTTTCAAAATGACTTATAAAGTGATTCCACCACCACAAGAACCAATGAACTAGATTTTTTAACACAAAACACAGTGCAAATGTGAGCATTTAGATGATTTTGAAGTTTGTAGAGTACATAACTATATAATACAGCTAAATCATATTTTAAATGCTGTCCTTTGTTCACTTTACAAATTTTCTGATATTTTTACAGATTGGAAACCTCCACCTGCACAAACTGGATGAACTTGATTGCCTTGTAAAGGGCTTGCTGTATATAGATTCTGTCAGTTTCAATGGACAAGCAGAGTGCTATTATTTTGCTAATGCCTCAGAACCTGAGCGATGCCAAAAGATGCCTTTTAACCTGGATGACCCCTATCCACTGCTGGTAGTGAACATTGGTTCCGGAGTCAGTATTTTAGCAGTCCATTCCAAAGACAACTATAAGCGAGTAACTGGGACAAGGTAGTAACCTTTTTGTTTGCAGCATTCATTTTGTTTTATACATAGAAATTGTGAAATATACTCTTTTAGTTTCATCAGGAAAATAATATGTACAACAGCAAAAAGTGTAGATGTATAAGTTACAGTGTAGCAGACAACACTGTTTACAAGGCATGTATGTAAAGGACATCAATATTTCCATGATAGAGTGGATTTTTACCTGAAATGATTCTGACTTATTTTCCAAAGCATTTTTCTTATTTTCCATTTAGTTCTATACAGCACATCCTCAGATAACAGGCTGAATGAGCATTGGTGAGAAAAAACGTATCCCTGCCAAGTTATTTGAGGACTTGGTTTTGTTAAATACCTTTCATTTAACATCACATTTTCTAAGAAGCTATCCAAGATGTTACGTGAGGATTCAATATATTTAAGCCTAAAATTTGCCACAGGCTGATTCAACTCACTTTTAAACAGCAGTATTGGGCACACTAATTTTACACAATAAATTAAGATGAGCTCCTTTATAGGATAGTATTTGTTTTCTGAATATTTCAGTTTTACCATAATACCTGAAATAATGAAATTTAAGTGTGAGATTTAAAATTTTCCTTGTGTTTCTGAGGAGGGTGGAGACTTCTAAATTTAGTTGAAAAATAAAGATTTGGGAATACATTAGATTGATTTGTGAAAAAACACTGCCATTTTAAAGTAGAATTTCTATTTAAGTGTTACTTAAATTTAACTGGTATTTTATTTCTGGCCAAAAATCAACCTCCCTTGTAACACTCTGCCTTGGAATTACAAGGAAGTACTACTTACTTCACTTGTTTCTAAAAGACAAATTCAGTAGGTTAACTAAATTTCTTTTTTTTATTAAGTGTTTTTATTTTTTTTAAGATTTACTTATTTATACAAGCACTGGGGTCAGTCAGAAGCATGGGAGGGTGAGAGAATTCACCAGAGCCAGAGCGGGGAGCAGAACAGGCAGACTGACGAAGTACACTGCTGAGGGGAGCAGCAGGCGGCAGGAGAGGTCTGCGCACCATGTGGGACCCTCACCCGAGCCGGCGCTGCAAAGGCTGTGGGCAGCTTTGCAACCCAGCGCTCAACCGCTGCGCCACTGGGGAGGCCCCGGTTAACTAAATTTCAATGGTGATTCAGGGACAGAACCCGTTAGAAATTTAGGTGAGACAAGGGAACAAAGGTTTTGATTTTAGGATCAGAAAAACATGATTTCATCTTGTAAGCATATCCAAAAGAATAAAACCAAATGAATTTGTCATTAACATGATAAGCAGCCTGACAACTTTCCTCACACTACTGACTTCTATGTCATGTTAAATGTTAATGTACCACATTCAGTTGATTTTAGCCCTGCCGAGCATTCATTTCCTCAAGACCATTTAAAAATCCCTGCTAAGTGTTCTCCCACCCCCCAGGTTTATTTCTTTGATTTGATAAGACAAGTTTTGTCTTCTTCAGCGTTTTTCTTACTTTCATTATGAGAATATTTCAGCTTTAATATTAGCAATATGTTGTGTGTTTGCGCCAACCTTTCACTTTGTGGAAAGAATACAGTATGTAGGGCCTCCCTGGTGGCGCAGAGGTTGAGCGCTGGGTTGCGAAGCTGCCCGCGGCCTCTGCGGCGCCGGTTCGATCCCCGGCTGCTCCCCGGCCACCAGAGGAGGGTCCCACATGGCGCGCAAACCTCTCCTGCCGCCTTCTGCTCCCCTCAGCAGTGTACTTCAGTCCTTCTGCCTGCTCTGCTCCCCGCTCTGGCTCTGGTGAATTCTCTCACCCTCCCGCGCTTCTGACTGTACTCAGTGCATGTATAAACAAACAAACAAATAAATAAATAAATAAACATGCCTCTTTAAAAAAAAGAAAAAAAAAAAAAGAATACAGTATGTAATTGAAACTAATCAAGATTTTTTTTTATTTTCTTTAGTCTTGGAGGGGGTACCTTCCTGGGTTTATGCAGTTTATTGACTGGCTGTGAAAGTTTTGAAGAGGCTCTTGAAATGGCATCCAAAGGTGACAGCACCCAAGCTGATAAGTTGGTCCGTGATATTTATGGAGGAGATTATGAAAGATTTGGTCTGCCAGGTTGGGCTGTAGCATCTAGGTAAGTTTATCATTTAAGTTGTAATTCAAGTTGGTTTTTGGAAAGAAATAGTTTTAGGAAATTGTAGAGAGCTTCCCTCTTACCCAGTTTACCTTCCAAATTTTGAACATTCATGTAGTTTAAAATTAAATATACATCAAGAAGTCTACCCTGCATCTACCCCATAAGAAAGCTTTCTATTCTTGAGTGCCCTTCCAATGTACCTCACTTAATTACAAATACTTACTCCCCCCTTATGTAGAAGGTACTGTATTTTATGTACCATTACCTGGCATACCACATATACTCTTCAACAACAATCTGTCTGTCTGCCTCCCATTTTATCTTGACTTCTCCCCACTATTCTTCCCCCTCCTTTGTGATTGGTTTCATGGTATTCCCATCTGTATCTATGGTTTGCTGGATGTTTGGGTTTCTAGGATTTCACTATGTGTGGGTCCATAAGTCAGTGAGTAACCTTATGCATACCTTACACTGTACATGCATAGATTTATCTGAGGGATCAGTCACCAAATTACCCAAGTGTTTGAGATGTTGATATCAAATTTGAATTGTTTTTTCATTTCTCTGCAGTTTTGGCAATATGATTTATAAGGAGAAACGAGAATCTGTTAGTAAAGAAGATCTAGCAAGAGCAACTTTAGTTACTATCACCAATAACATTGGTTCTGTGGCAAGAATGTGTGCTGTTAATGAGGTAAAAAATATATATATATGTGAATCGGGGTCTTATGTATAGATTGCAGAGCTCCTTAAGGTCTTTTATGATTGAGCTCTCCTAATTCATTAAGGCTCATTAAGTCTGTTACCTACCAAATTGTTAGATCACTGTTAAAGTAGCAGATAATTCAAATCCAAAAAAGCACAAATAGTTTACATCTTGCTTATCCTGAAACCTTTAAAAAAAAATGCACACCTAAATCTCTGAAGATATAAAATTCCTTGTAAGTGAAAGTTTGTGTTTTTGTTTTACTGTTAATGTTGCATTTAATTGGTGAAGCTTTGTTAACTGGGAAATTTTCTTACTGCCCTCGGCTTCTTTACAGTGCTGCCTTGTTGCATATGGATCAAGCAGCATTGTACAGGGCTATGAAGGCATTGAGATTTGTTCTTCACATGAAATTTGTACTAGAGTTACCTCAAGTTGGGTTCTTTTTCTTGAAGGAAACTATGCCATTCTGCATTCATGTTATAAACTTGATTGCCCATTTGTGTAACTGTCAGATATTTTAAATGAATTGGGAAGTTTTCTTTCTAAAGGATTCCAACTGCAGAGACCCATAAAGAAATCCATTGAATTTCTTTATACATAAATCCATGATTTTTTTTTAGCAGCGTAGTGAATTGGTTGAGGGAGCCACTAGCAAGTCTTTTAACCTAAATTAAGAATATTTTAATTTGGGAGCTAACAAAGTAACTTAACAAAGGACTTTTCTTTCTTAACCTGTAGGTCTAGATTTTCACTGGCTATCATTTACGTGATCCAAGCTCACTGTGCAAAAATGTATATTCAAAAGTGTATTTTTTAAGTGTAGAAATAGGTTTTCTGAAGATTCATACATGAGTTATTTCCTCTGAGATTTCCTAGTCATTTAAGTACTTAAGGAACCAAATTACCGAGTGGAATTTTAGTGGTGATTTGACATGTCAGGCTGGGGACCAAGGGCTTGGGTGCACGTGCCAATGCCCCAGTCAACGTTGCTTTCCAACTCTGGGTTGCATGTCATTTTGTAGCATATAGCACAACATGCTGGCCATGTTTATAGCTTATTTTAACTCTGAACACACTTAAAAATAAATTTTTGAGTTTGTCTCCTATAATCCCATATGCATCTCTCCCATTTACTTTTTCAAAAACATGTCTCAAAGGAAGAAAATTCTCAGTAACATTAAAGTAGGGGGGAATTCTCATTAACCTAGAGTCTTTCCAGACCTTTTTAAAAAAATAGCTTATTTTTTAGAGCACTTTTAGGTTCACAGCAAAATTGAGTGGAAAGTACAGAGAATACCAATACATCTCTGACCCCACAGGTGCAAAGGCTCTGCAGCACATCTGGCTCCAGAGTGGTATATTTGTTACAGTTGATGAACCTATAGTGACACATTATTACCTAAAGGCCATAGTTTATGTTTGGGCTCACTCTCAGTATACATTTTGTGGGTTTTAACAAATAATGTAGTAGTGTGTTCAGAATTGATTTTAAATATTCAGGAATATATGGACATTATGTACCAGAAGTCCTAATAGCTACTGAAAAAATGGAATGGTTTATAATTTGAAGTAGAGATTTTGTAAACCCTGTAGTATTGTAAAATCTACTTGACAATTCTTCTTTCACATCATTTCCTTTGTTTTGTTCTAGAAAATAAACAGAGTTGTCTTTGTTGGAAACTTTTTACGTGTCAATACTCTCTCAATGAAACTTTTGGCATATGCACTGGATTATTGGTCAAAAGGTCAACTAAAAGCATTGTTTCTAGAGCATGAGGTATGATGAAAAAAGTTTTGTGACTTTTAATGCTTTTCTATGTAATTTTCATTTAGTATATCTTCCCTTGTAAATACAAGGAAAAATAAAAATTACAGTTTACCTAACTAGTATGTTAGTTCTCTCAGAATAGTCTGTTTGGAGGGAACAAGATACTACAACCTGTAGGTTGAAGAGAATTTCACTTCTGACCAAGAGGGTAATAGCAAGTCAGGAACTCTTCAAATACCAGGCTGTTGCATTATTGTTATTTGATACACTGTTTCTTTTGTTTTTCCTCCCAAAATAACATGTTGAATGTGAAACAATACAAAAATACTTAATTTAGCCGTGGAAATTCTTATTGTTCTCAACACAACCTCACCCCCATCTTCGCAGGTGACCTCTGTTAGCATTTTTTTTTTTTTACTTTTTTTTTTTTAATAGAGGCATGTTTTTTTCTTTATTTATTTGTTTGCTCGTTTGTTTGTTTTTTTTTTGTTTGTACATGCACTGGGTACAGTCAGAAGTGCGGGAGGGTGAGAGAATTCACCAGAGCCAGAGCGGGGAGCAGAGCAGGCAGAAGGAGCAAAGCACACTGCTGAGGGGAGCAGCGGGCAGCAGGAGAGGTCTGCGCGCCATGTGGAACCCTCCTCCGGTGGCCGGGGAACAGCCGGGGATCGAACCAGCGCCGCAAAGGCCGCGGGCGGCTTCGCAACCCAGCGCTCAACCGCTGCGCCACTGGGGAGGCCTTCTGTTAGCATTTTGATGTTTATTCTTAAAGTTTTTTTCTATTTACTTAGTCTTTATACTCTTAAATTCTGATCTGAGTAAATAGTTCTTATAAATGTTTTGGATTAAGTAAATTTTGAATTATTTTGTTTCTAGTCAGAGAAACAGATGTCTTGTTTGGATTTTAGGAATGCAGATTCAGGGTATTTGTTCTGCTCTTATCGACTTGAATGTTTCACTGTCTCTGTTCTGCTCTTATTGACTTGAATGTTTCACTGTCTCTACTCTCACTACCCAGATCAGTGTGGCATGCTTGATGCTGTGAGAATGTCAGGCAGAGCCAGAGGAAGTTTGAGGGGGGTGGGGAGGGCCAGAAAATTGCTTGAATAGCCCTCAAAGCTTGTGTTTTAAAAGCTGTACTTTAGGGGGCCTCCCTGGTGGCACAAGGGGTTAAGCACTACACTATGGAGCAATCTGAAGCCTCTGATGACCGGCCTCCCAGGAAGCAACCCACATGGCACAGCAGACCTCTCCTGACTCGCCCGCTGCTCCCCTCAGCAGTGTACTTTTCGGTCAATCTGCTTGTTCTGTTCCCCACTCTGTCTCTGGTGAATCCTCTCAACCCCACACCTCTGGCCTGTACCCCAGCTTTTATATGCATAAATAAATAAATCTTTAAAAAAAATAAAAGCTGTACTTTAAAAATATGTACTCTGAAAGTATATAGTGAGAATGCAGTTTCAGGAAAAAAAAAAATTTATAATAGCTAACAAGGCAGAATAGTTGTTCTTAGATTGATTATACATAAATATTTTGTTCATTATATGCTATTTGTATGCTATTTAAAAGCTTCACTATATTAATAATTGTTTTTAAAATCTACAGGGATACTTTGGAGCAGTTGGTGCACTTCTTGGACTACCAAATTTCAGCTGAAGTACCAGGTTTCCTGCTAATGTGATTCAAGAGGAACTGGAAACCAGAGGCATCATCACTGCATTATTTGTCACTGGGAACCAAAGGATAAAAGAGTAGCGCTATCACTGTTCATTTCTAAATGTCAAAATGGTTAGCTGCTAAATGTTGCCACATTAAAAGAGAACTCCATAACATTTAAAGTATTTCTAGATGAAATGCTTTCCCTTCTGTATACAGCCTCTGATTATTGAACTTCCTCTGAGAAAGATTTTCTGTTTTTTCTTATGTAGCCAACATTGCAGTACTGTATGCTCAAACAGAATCTTCAAGTCTCGGATATGTTTAGCTCATGAAGATGATTCTGAATATTTGTTATAAGTCTGTTCTCTATGAGTTTGGTTACTAGTGAATGGAAAATAATACCCTGTATCAAAATTTATTGACATGGCAATCAAACATGATCATTTTTATGTGATTTTAGAAATGTTAAGACAATATCAATTGTTATAGTTTTCTAACATATCCACCAAAATAAGCATGTTTGTGATCTTCCCCCAGAAGCATAACCTTATTAATGCCATAATTTAATTGAAATACTGTTGTTAAATATAGCCTGAATCGTAAAATGAATCCTCAAAAATGCACATATTGGGTGACATCGCACATCCATATTTTGAGTTAATACATTTTAAAATAATTTTTATAGTTTGGAGTTGTAATTATTTTATTTGAAAGTCCATTCAGTGAGATCCTAGAAATTGTAATGAAATATGGTTTGAGTGTACTGGTAGAGTTCCGAGATCTTTCTATATAACATTCATCTTTGGTCCAAACTTAGCAGTTTTTCTTTAATTATGTCTAACCCATCAAGGCTCAAAACTATTCTATTATGAACAGCAGCAAAAATCACATTCTAATCAGCTATTATGGAATCTAAAAAATTTATTTTGTGGGGATTTTTTGTGATTTTTGAGGCAGTATTGCTGAATTAAAAAAAAGTATCAGTGTTTCATGCATTTTAGTTCTAAAATTTATAAATCCTTTGCCCTGGAATTTGCTCTCCATTTTGATGTTATTTCTTATAATGTTAGCATTTTTTTAATTTTACTTTGGCAGTAAGATTTGAAGGTCCAATAATTCAGCAGAGTTGTTCCTTCAACACTGTTACTTTTCAGGAATAGAGTTGGGAAAAAGTATTTACCCCCTTTAATTACCAGTAAATCTGGATATAATTTGAAGAGCTTAAAAATTGTTTACATTATAAGAAAGAAGTATTTCAATGTGGTTCTATAGACCCAGTTTTGCTCCATAGACAGCAATATTCAGTAGACTATCAAGAGGTGCTTGACAAAGATTTTTTTTTTCTTGGAGTTTTCACATTTTGTGCTCAAATACTTAAAATTTGGTTTTCTTTATGAATAATGGAAGTTAATGATTGGAAAGCAGCATATAAAGGTAATTTTTTGAATTTAGAATATTTGGAATTTTGAATCAAATCAGTAGTCTTTGAAAACTTAAAATGACAAAACATTTCTTTAATGTTTCCATTGTGATGACTAGATATGTCAGCCAATATTCATCTCTTTGTTTTATTTTAAAATTAATATTACCAGGCATCTGTACTAAGTTATTTTTTTATGGTAATTTTAAGTTGTATACCTGTGGCAAACTGTACTTTGTGAACAGCTACAGTTTTAGGCTGTCTTTAAGAAAGAAATGGCTGTCTGTGTAGGTTTTTTTGGTGTATACTTTGGCTAATGGGGGGCAGGGGATATAATTCCTGTTTTCTATCTTGGAAACTGGTATTACCTGCCAAACTGCATATAAAGTGAACAGCTGTCTCACCACTGTTGGTCTTGGCTTTTCTTATAAGCAAGAATATAGTATAAATAAAACACAGAATTGTGATAAAGGCTGCCAAGATTCTAGTTTTCCTTATGATCGAGAAATGCCCTGTAAGCCCTAACCTCAGTCAACATAATGCTTCAAAGCTCTATGCTTGTGAACAGTGCTGGCTAATAATAAAATGTGAGCCATGTGTAATTTTAATTTTCTAGTAGGTACATTTCAAAAGTGAAAACAAACATTTAAAAAGTAAAAATTCATTTATCTTTTTATTTAACCTAGTATCTGATAACATATCAATATAAAAGATTATTTACAAGATATTTTACCTTTTATATTTATAACATATCTCAATGTAATGTAGACTGACCACATTTCAAGTTCAGAAGTCACATGTGGCCTGTGGCTACTGTATTAGACAGTGCAGTTATAGAACTAGCTCAAAGTATCCACTAAAAAATTTAGAAATGTGGACTTTTTAAAGAATATTTAAGGGGCAATGTAAAAATAATGATCATATACAGAAAGTAGATCATTTGGGCTAGTGTATTTTATATAGACAAGTTTCATTTCTTACCATTCCAAAAACATCCTAAGTTGCATCCTGCTGTCTCATCATAGGGTGTTTATCACATTTCCAAGATACTGACCAAGTTGCCCACTATACATTCTGACTGACCGCAACAGTCTCCAAGATGTGTATTTCCTTCATTGAAGTAAGTTTGAAGAGTCCAATGATTTAAATTTCATTCCCTACCTTATCCAATTGAACTTTGAGAAGTTTTTATTTTTTTTCTGTTGTTTAGAGAAGCCAGTTTTGAAGACTAAAAATTCATCCTTTTAATCTTCACTGCGTTCTATACATATAGTTAAAACTTTTGGATTTAATGTTCATTCTTAACACGATAAAATATTTACAAGTAAAAGGAACACTATTTGTTGGGGGGGCTTGGTAAAAATCAAGCCTGGAACTTCTACCACTCCTCCTGAAACTGCCTTTTAACTAGATACTTAGAACTAACTAATCACACTCAGAAACCTTCCCTGAAGATAGTATAAGCAGACTTGCTTGCCTGTCAACATAGGGATTCCTTGCTCAGCTACTCTAAATAGGTGGACTCAGTGTTTTTAAGTAAGTCAATGCCATTGCCAGTAATACACATGGTAATTGACGGTCCCTTTAAGAGTTTCTGATTATTTGCCAAATACTGGACTCTATAGAAATTGCTGAATTTTTAACCTTTGCATGTATAATAAATAAGCTGTATTGTAAATAGCAGTTCTGGAAAGTCCATTTCTATAAGCAAAAATATGCAGCTGAAAGGGGAAAAGATTTCCCCCCTCTATGTCCAGCAATTCTCTTGCCTTCTCAGAGCAGTCCACATTTTGCCTTGATTTCTAACATTGCATTTTTGGTTGGAAAGCTTAGCAAGGCAATAGTTTCCGAATGTTCTTTATAACCACTTTTGTTATGTGCAAAAGTTTTCATAATTTGTTTAGTGTATTTTTCTTTTGAGCACTTTATGCTTTTCAGTCTTGAGCATTTGAGAATGTAGTTTAGAAATTCTCTTTTAAAGCCATTTAAAAACAAGGATAATCAGAAAAATGTGCATTATTTTGTATTTAACTTACTGTTTTGTGGTATGTGTAAACAGAATAGAAACTATGTTGCATTTTTGTAATACTATCACCTTATTTAAGATGATTTGCCATGAAATATCAATGTCCTGTTTTCCAAGTTTTATTTTAGCGTTTCATTTTAATACTGAAGGAATTAAATCAGCTTTGTTTCTATTATAAAATAATCTTAGAAAATATGCTTTTTATTACTGTTTTCAATATCTGAGATAGTAGTTGTCTTACATTTTCTACTGTACTTAGTAATAATCAGCAAAGTCCCCAAAAACTGCATTTTTTTCTTCAAGTATTTTGATATAAATAGCTCATTAAAAAATAATGGTGGTATTATAAAAAAGTAATTCATCCTCTTTTTCAGCCATATCTAAATTTTAAATGATTTTTCCTTTCAAAAAGTTCAAATGTTTTCATAACACAGTCTCTATTATTTCTATCATCCATTTCAGAGGATGAGAGTCAGGGGGTGTCATAATTCGGTATATTAGAACTAGCAGTGGCCACTGGAACACTTTGAATTTTTTTTCTTCATTTGTAAAATGAGAGGATTGATTAGTTATAATGGAAAATGATCCAGTTACCATGTCCTTGAAAAAGAGGTGCTGCATTCATGGCAGTATTTAAATGATGATGACAATTTGATGTCATGTTCTGGAGTTAATTTTATTTGTGATGTTGATCGGTACTAGGTTTTGGATCCTCAGCAAACCAGCAGATAAGTGTTCATGATGTTGGGGTATTCATAACATTATGTTATTGCTCAGAATGGCCAAGTAAATGTACCTTAAATACGATTTTTTAATGTATATTCAAGTGTGTGTGTACTTAAATAAGTAATCTAGAAATCTTATTGTGTTAACTTCAAAATTATATAGACATTATAACTTCCATTATACAGAGAAAAATATTCCACTAAATTCATAGTTGTTTGAATATTAGGTTTTGATTTTTCCTGGACCCTTTTTTCAACTTTTTCTTATTTCTGATCACTGTAATTGAGGATAGATATGGAATTTAATGCCCTTCTGAAATTAATGCTTTGTTGAACACAATTTGTAGCAAAATTTATAAAACACAATCTGATTACCTGCAAGCAAGTTGAAATATCATGGATTACAGTCATCCACATCAAATGTGTTGAATATATAAAATACTTTTATCCTTTGTCTTCTCAGAGAATGATCAAATTGGACATGTGTCTGACATCCTCAGCTTTCTATTTGAAACACATGTAGCCATGATTTGATGCTGGGACTTAAGGTATTATAGTTAGTAAATGATGTGTTTGAGAGAAAACTGATTTTTTTCCTACTTCAAAAAAATTTTACATTCTGGCTCCTCTGAAGGATAAGAGATTTAGTTTTTCTGGTGCAACTGACACAAATTTTATGTAAAAGAATGGGGAAGTATTTTCCAAAAGAATGAAGTTACAATTCATGATTTTTTTTTACTTATATGTGCAATTAAAATTAATTCTAAGACATTGCTGATTTCTTGTTGGCTATTTCTCAAAAATCTTTACTACTTTGCCGTGCTTTCTATTCCACTAGCTTTCAAAAAAAATTCAGCTTTTACATAATCTGCAAAGTATATACAAATGCTGCAAACCTTGTGAGACTGATTCAGTTTTCCATCTTTCTGAATCATACAGATATTGTACGTGGCGCAGTCAGTAGGTATCAGATATTAAACCATTTCAAAGTCTGCCACTGTCTTCTTAGGGGGCGCTTTTTCGTTTATAGCATTGAGAAACAAAGGAAAACTTAATAGACCTGAAATCACTAGCCTGTCCCAAATACAATGAAAGGAAGTAAGTCAGGTATAAAGTGGTCTTGTCTTTTATATAAACTGCTTTTGCTTTTTATTTGAACTACAGTGAAATTTTGACTTCTTAACTGGAATTGAATGAAAGGCATTTGGCCTCATTCTGCCAGTTATTGACCAAATCATACCCAGGTGTTTGTTAGGTATTCATTTTACTTAAACAAGCCATTTTGGTTTAAGTTGCCTTATTTTGTCTACTGTGTTCTTGTCAGGTCTAAGCTTTGTCATGTTGGAATTCTAACACTGAATCTTTGCTGTAAAAATGTATAATGTGCTACAAATTTTATTCATAATAAACTAAGTTATAACCTATTGTAACCTATAAAACATTTCTTGTAAATTGTCTAATTTATTTTTTTCATTTATGTACAGTATCTTATGTAAATTTTTAAAGTATTTGTTTTGGCCTATTCTGTAACATTACCATATTCCTCTAAGTGTTTATTTGCATGAAAGAGAAACTTGGGTTTTGCTTGTTTGTATTGTACGACCACTAAGCCAATTTCCAGTACTCAGCCTTTTCTGTAGTTTAACTTTTTCTAGTTTTGTCCCTATTCTAAATGTTAATCATGCTTTTTATTTCCTACTTTCAAAATAAATTCTTTTGACTTGTTTACTCTGTTATCTATTTTTAAAACAGTGTATTACATTTAATCAGAGTGGAAATATGCAAGGTTTTAGTTGAAAGGATAATAGAAAGTAAGCTTTGGGGCCTCCCCGGTGGCACAGCGGTTGAGCGCTGGGCTGCAAAGCTGCCCGCAGCCTCTGCAGCACCTGTTCGATCCCCGGCCACCAGCGAGGGTCCCACATGGTGTGCAGACCTCTCCTGCCGTGCCCGCAGCTCCCCTCAGCAGTGTATTTCGTCAGTCTACCTGCTCTGCTCCCTGCTCTGGCTCTGGTGAATTCTCTCACCCACCCGTGCTTCTGACTGTACCCAGTGCTTATATAAATAAGTAAATAAATCTTTTTTCAAAAAAAAGAAAGCAAGCAAGCTTTGGAGAGCAGGGACTTTATAATAAAGTCTGATTCCCCTCTGGATACTCAGAACTTGACATAGAGAAGGGACTCAATAAAAATTGTTTAAGAGTGTCCTTACCTATCTGGTCTGCCTCTGTCTTCCTCTCCCAAATCTAGAAAGCACAAATGTTCTTCAAACATTGATAGCCATAAAGTTTAAGATTTAAGTCTATCAACATGAAGGAAAGCTTGGGTTTTCCTTAAAATCACCCCATGTTAACCTACACCTGAAAATGAATGTTGACAATGGAGCAGTTATTACAAATGTTCCACAGGGGAGATGCCAGAACATGGATGCTACTTTGGTGCTGGTTGGGAAGAGTCATGCATGCTTCTCAATCAAAATATCCTTTATTTTTAATAGGTACTGCTTATAAGAAGTGTTCCTTTTAATCTTTGTGGGGTTTTTTTTTCCCCTCAAAGATTTATTTATACAAGAACTAGGGTACAGGCCAGAGGTATGGGAGGGTGAGAGGATTCATCAAAGACAGAGTGGGGCGCAGAGCAGGCAGATGGACCGAAAACACTGCTGAGGGGAGCAGTGGGCGAGACAGGAGATGTCTACCACACCATGTGGGTTTCTCCCTGGCCAGCCGGGAATCGAACCCACACTGCAGAGGCTGCAGACAGCTTCACAGCACTGCGCTCAACCCCCTGCGCCACCAGGGAGGCCTCTGTTCTATTTAATCTTTAATCTTTTTTGATATGTGAGGATTAAGTTGGGAAATTAACCTCTGGGTTTTCAAAGTATATGGTTGTCTTAACTCCAGGCATAAAGGCATGGTTGAAAACATGTGACTTGTGAAGTGCACATCCTGTTTAAAATAACCAGCAAGCAGGAGGTAGGATGAAAGGAAGGTGGCTAAGGGAGAAAATGGCGCATCTGGTGTGGAAATAAGTAGGTGTAAGGTGTAGGTTAGCTCTCAAGTATGAAAGTGCCACAGGCAATTGGAAATAAAATACTGAAGAGTAACAGTAGGTCAAAGTTTCACACATGCTAGGATCTGAATGTGTTCCAGGAGGGGTGGAGAGTTTGCACTGAATTCTATCCACAGCTATATCAATTTTGAAAACATGTTTATTCTATTGACACATAATCGAGTTCATTGAGCAAACATTGCTAATGTTTTTTGTACTGATCACTTCATACACCAGAATCTTTATAAACCCTAAGATATTCCTGTTTCTGGAGGATTTTGAAGTTTTGTTTTCTAAAATAAACTTGGGAATGCTGCCAACTTTGGGACTTTATCTCTTTCACACCAAAAAAGGGAATTTTTAATGTTGCTTTTCCTTTATTTATTTATTTATACATACATACATACAAGCACTGGGTACAGTCAGAAGCGTGGGAGGGTGAGAGAATTCACCAGAGACAGAGCGGGGAGCAGAGCAGGCAGAAGGACCGAAGTACACTGCTGAGGGGAGCAGCAGGCGGCAGGAGAGGTCTGCGCACCATGTGGGACCCTCCTCGGGTGGCCAGGGAGCAGCCCGGGATTGAACCGGCGCTGCAGAGGCTGCGGGCAGCTTCGCAAGCCAGCGCTCAACCGCTGCGCCACCGGGGAGGTCCCAGCTAGGGCTTTAAAAGCAAACTTTGGGCCTCCCCGGTGGCGCAAAGGGTTAAGACATTATCCGTAGCCACTGCAGCACAAGTTCAATCCCTGACCAGGGAGCTACCCACATGGTGCAGCAGACCTCCCCTGACTCGCCCGCTGCTCCCCTCAGCAGTGTACTTCAGTCAATCTGCCAGTTCTGTTTCCCACTCTAACTCTGGTGGATCCTCTCATCCCCCACACCTCTGGCCTGTACCCCACTTCTTGTATGCATAAATAAATCTTTTCAAAAAATAAAAATAAAAGCAACCTTTACAGGTTTTGGAAACAAAGATCAGCAGAACCATGAAAGCTTGCTCTTATGTCATGAAGACCCTAATTTGCTCATTTTTCTCTAGCAAGAATTTGGAGTTAGCTACCCCTGATGTTGCAAACAAAATCAAATATATATCAAATGTCATTCTGATAATTCAAGGTCCGGATGTGGAAACAGTGAGTACATAGTTAAGTGGGTTGTGGTGTTATTTTGTTGTTTCAGCTATCATATTTTAGTGTTTGAACAAAAATGTCCTTAGAGCTTTTATTTTCAGATTTTCTGGAAAACTACTTCAGGCTTTCAGGATGACCGTTTAATGTTTCAAAAAATGATTTCAGTGAGTTTGTAACTATTATTTTTATTTACTTTCAGTTTGAGACCAGTTTATTAAATTATCTTTAAATATTTACTGTTTGCTGTATATTTTCCTTTGTTTTAAATTGATTATACCTCAGTGAAGTTTTTTTCAAGACACAGAATAACCACTCACACATCAGTCAACACATGCAATCTGCTGTCTTGATTATGGTATAAAACTTATGACTCAGTCAATTCTGAACACATAAGAAAATTATTGACATTCTACTTTTTCTTGGGTTTTTTCCTATAATTCCAATTATAGGAATTAATTGTTGTTAATTAACTACCGTTAATAGTTTAGTGTGGGGCCTCCCCGGTGGCGCAGCGGTTGAGTGCTGGGTTGCGAAGCTGCCCGCGGCCTCTGCGGCGCCGGTTCGATCCCCGGCTGCTCCCCGGCCACCGGAGGAGGGTCCCGCATGGCACGCAGACCTCTCCTGCCGCCCGCTGCTCCCCTCAGCAGTGTACTTCGGTCCTTCTGCCTGCTCTGCTCCCTGCTCTGGCTCTGGTGAATTCTCTCACCCTCCCGCGCTTCTGAGTGTACCCAGTGCTTGTATAAACAAAAAACAAATAAATAAAATAAAAACATGCCTCTAAAAAAAAAAAAAATAGTTTAGTGTGAAATTTCCCCAATGCTGTGAAGACAGAAAGACAATATTGCTTCTTAAAGAGACATCTCAATAAAGCTGAGGAAAATTCTGTATTTCAAAAAGACACTAAATCTAAGCAAACTTCAGATTAAAGATGCCCCGAGATCTCCCACACACCAAGAACCAGTCATCAGTCAAGGCTGTGCATAGCGGACCCAAGAGTCAGGAAATTTCTCACAGACCACTGCTGCCAACTTTTCACAGAGGACGACAGCGCAGAGAAATGATTCGCTTCTTCCAGGTCACACGGCAGGCTATTTGCAAAACCAAAATTCAACCCCAGCCCTTCTCTTTCCTTGCCAGTTTTTTTTTTTTTTTTTTAATCCTCTCTCCTCGAAGGGCATATGGCACCAGAATGTCACCAAAATAAATAAGATTTAGGCTATAACAGCCAAGCAAGAAAGAGCAATCAATGGAGAAAAGGCAGAACAACCACATGAGAAAAATCAAAAGTAGAAAGATCTCCATAAACAATAAATAAATAGACTTACATCTGTCAATTAAAGGAAACTATGTGGTTGGTTTTTAAAAGGAAAAGAAAACATCCATATGCTTTTGTACAATAGATGTGAACTAAGTTAAAGACCTGGCCAGTTTGAAATCAAAGGGGTTAAAAAAAGGTCAGCTGAACACTCAAGATGAGCAAATGGATTTCAAGTCAAAAGTCATCATTAGTAATGGGATCATAGCTAGTCATAAAATATTCCATTAACCAAAAAGCCAGGAAATAAAGCTAAAATTGATGAAACTCTGAGGGATGAAGCTGCCTTCCGAGCAGGAGACACTTCACTGTCTCAATTATTGGCAGTTCCAGCAAACAAAAAGCCAGCAAAACAGTGAAGTTTGACCTAACGGACACACTGAATTGTGCATCCAACAAGAGTTCATGTTCTTTTTTTTTTTGTGGGACCCTCGCTGCAGAGGCTGTGGGCAGCCTCGCAGCCCAGCGCTCAACCGCTGCGCCACCAGGGGAGGCCCTCAATAGTTCATGTTCTTGTCGCGCAGACCTCTCCTGCCGCCCGCTGCTCCCCTCAGCAGTGTACTTCGGTCCTTCTGCCTGTTCTGCTCCCCATTCTGGCTCTGGTGAATTCTCTCACCCTCCCGCACTTCTGACTGTACCCAGTGCTTGTATAAATCAATCAATCAATCTTGAATAAATAAATAAATGTTTAAAAAAAAAAAGAGTTCATGTTCTTAAGCACACATGGAACATTCACAAAAACTGATCACATAAAAGACCAAGGCATAAGTCTCAATAAATTTCAAAAAATAAAACCTATCTTCTCTGAAAAGGACAAGGAACTGCACAATGAAGTGACTTTAAGGACGGGCCAAGCAGTCCGAGGGCGGCAAGGTGGCTGTGGAGAGGGGAGTTGAAGGTGTGGTGAAAAGAGGGGGTCAGAGAGTTGGAAGTCGCTATGGGGTTGAATAGTGTTGGATTTGGGGTTCCTAAAGGTGGTGACGTGGTCAAAAGTGGGGAGGAAAGAGCTTGGGAAGGGAGATTACAACCCCTGGAGGGGTAAGAGAGATGGTGTTCTCCATATAGACAACTTCTGCTTCCTTCCCATGGCTACTGCATACAGCCGGAATTCACCCCTCACCCCCCTTAAGTGTGTTTATATTTTGAGTTAGTGCACACTGGCACATTGGCTACCAGTACGCTGGGCTACCTCTAGGTTATTTGCCTCTAGACCTTCACACACCATCAGCTTCTATTCACCTGACATTTTACC